TGTGGGGGGCTGACTCGTTGGATCTTCTGGACAGCCTCTGGTAGGGGTGTGGGGGGCTGACTCGTTGGATCTTCTGGACAGCCTCTGGTAGGGGTGTGGGGGGCTGACTCGTTGGATCTTCTGGACAGCCTCTGGTAGGGGTGTGGGGGGCTGACTCGTTGGATCTTCTGGACAGCCTCTGGTAGGGGTGTGGGACATGGGAAGAATGATTTTGTGTGAATTTTGACGTACGAAGACAAATGTTTGTTTGTTTAGTTTCTGTTGTTTTTACAAGTTTATTTTAACGAGAAAACAAAAACAGTTCTGGACTAAAAATGTCATAAACATCACAGTGATGTAAATTTGTCTTTTAATAGTTGAAATATTGTTTTAATGTTTTTGTTTAGTCACTGGTTTAAGTGTCTGAAGATTCTTGTACAAATACAATAATTACTCTTGTTGCCCCCCCAACGACAGTGTTTAATATCAGCAGACCGTCAGTGCCCTCACTTCTGTCCTCTCCTGTTTGTCTTCAGTCGGCTCAGAACTTGGCCCAGATCAGTGACCTACAGTCCCAGCTGGAGGAGGCTCTCAAGGACAAGCAGGAGGTTCAGGAAAAGGTTAGTTGTGACGAACACACAGGATAGAACCAGCTGCTGCACACATCGCTCCGGATTTACAGAAATAAAGAGTTCCTTGTTTCTTTAAGCTCTTCTGGACCGAGACTAAACATTTCAGCTCATCCTTTAAAACATCTACAGTGGTGCTTAAAGTTTGTGAACTCTTTATTTTCTATATTTCTGCATCAGTCTGACCTAAAACATCTTCAGATTTTCACACAAGTCCTAAAAGTAGACGAAGAGAACAAGTTCAACAAATGACACAAATATTTTACTTATTTATTTATTGAGGAGAATGATCCAATATTAAATATGTGTGAGTGGTAAAACTATGTGAACCTTTGCTTTTATTACCTGCTGTGACCCCCCCCCCCCCCGCAGCAGTAACTTCAACTAGATGTTGAGCGGAGTAGGTGAAGGTCCTTTTGTCTAGTTCAGTCCTCACTGAGGGAACACTACAGGTAATGATGTCCTGAGAGCGCACGCTGTAGCTGCACTCACACAGAGACATGTAGGAGGAGATGTATGAAGGCAGCAGACCAGGAAGTGATTTAAAGATGAAGATGTACCAGTGGGAGAGTCTGTGTGGAGTTAATGGTGACCAGTTAACCAGTGAATACGGGGTGCAGTGGTGGGTACGGTAGTTACAGCCAGTTATGAATCTTAGTGCACCATGATAGACAGCATCCAACATCTGCAGCATCCAACATCTGCAGCATCCAACATCTGCAGCATCCAACATCTGCAGGTTCTTGTAGGAGCGTTCATGTAAATAATGTCACCGTGATCAATGGAGGGAAGGAAAGTCACAGATACAAGGCGTTTCCTAACATTCAGAGTTATAGAGTTCATTTTCTGACAAAAAAAAACGTGTTGTTGACTCCAACTCAAAGCTGAAGCCTAAAACCATCTCTAAACATAAAGAACCTTTTAAAGTCGAACAAAATGAAGTCTTGTTCTGTAAAAGGTGGAAATATTTTCTTAAGTGGGTGTTGGTGATTTTTAGCCTTTTTTCACGAGCTCCTCCTCCGTGTCCTTTCTGGCGTCCGTACATCATGATGAGAATCACAGCTGTCCTGTTACAATTAATCAGTTCTGCTGGTCCATTTATGTTGTTGCAGCGCTGGAGGAAGAACAACAGAGATGTTTGTTCTGTTCCCTCCTGGACCAGCTGAGCACAAAATAAAAAGTGATTAACTCAAGTTTTACTCATCAGTCTTTTCACAAACTCTTGTTTTTCATTTGATTCTTCTTCGTGTGTCCTAGATGCAAGTGCTCCAGAGCCAGCTGGACTTCCAGGAGCAGTCCATGGTGGAGAAATCCCTCGTCAGTCGTCAAGAGGCTAAACTCCGTGAGCTGGAGTCCAAGCTGGAGTTTGAAAAGACGCAGGTCAAACGTCTAGAGGTGAGTCCAAACACCGTTCAGTGGTGCCTGTAGGCATCAAGGGTGAGAACACGACATGTTTGTAGGTTCAAACTACAGACATTAAGACAGATCTGCTGTACCTGGACCTCCTGTTCATATCTGTACCTTGACCTCCTGCTCATATCTGTAACTTGACCTCCTACTCATATCTGTACCTGGACCTCCTGCTCATATCTGTACCTGGACCTCCTGCTCCTGAGAGGAGTTTCTTTAAGGACTCTTAACGTTTTAATTTGCTCATAAAGACGAGACGTTTAGTTAAAAACACTGAATCGTTTCCTGTTTTCATGCAGTAAATCCAAATTATAAAAGATCACTGCAGAACAAACTGAAGGTTCTTGATGAAGAAGACATTTAAAAAGCTTCTGTTTCTGTAGAACCTGGTGGCTCGTCTGAAGGAGAACGTGGAGAAGCTGACAGAAGAACGAGACCAGCGTTTCAGCAGTGAGAACCGTGAGAAGGAGCAAAACAAACGTCTGCAGAGACAGATCCGAGACGTCAAAGAGGAGATGGCCGAAGTGGCCAAGAAGGAAGCTGAAGCAAGCCGCAAGAAGCACGAGCTGGTGAGGAAGAAGCAGACATGAAGAAGACAACGTGGTGCCAGTGGAGCTCTAAGCAAAGATCTGACTGGACTTGTTGTGTCACTTTTAGGAGATGGACATCGAGAGCTTAGAAGCAGCCAATCAGAGTCTTCAGGCCGATCTCAAGCTGGCCTTTAAACGGATCGGTGATCTGCAGGCCGCCATCGAAGACGAGATGGAGAGCGATGACAACGAAGAGCTCATCAACAGGTAGCTCCTCAACATCTCACATGTTTTCATTAGACACCGGGATGAATGTTCAGAGTGACACCTGAACACCACGTGATGCAGACACAGTTTCACATCAGTTTTCGTTCTGTTTCATGGTTTTACAACTCCTGAAACAGGCCGTGAGGTGTGATGAGCGACACTAACTCCATCAACACACATCAGATCATTACTCATGAGAATAATCTTGTTTAGGTGTTTGAAACTCTGTAGAGCTGCTGGGTGTGTATCATGTCTCCTAACTCAGTCTGACTTCTAAAGATGGAGTCATGTCATTAAAGTCACTTTGCTGCTGATCTTTTGTGTGTTTGGTCCAAGACTGTTCACTGGAAGAGTTGGTTTTTACCTTCCACAAGTCAGGAGGACAGCAGGAAGTAGAGTTCAACCAGATGTTTGTGCCGTTCACTGTCACCCTGACACAACATGTCCAACCTGCCTCAAAGTCTTTACACAAGTGCACGTGAATAAATCTGCTGCACTGGTGCTGATAGCAGAGTTTTTCTCTGCTGCGTTTACAAACGTGTAGCCTTGATGTTCATTTCTACTCCTGCAGTCAAAGTCGTGTAAAATGTTTGTTCCTCCCAGGTCAAGGTTCAGTCTGACTGTCTGCAGGACGCTGAGCTCCAGCTGAGCTTCGGTAGTCTTGAACAGCACTGGGTCGGTCAGGTCGACGCTCCGTGTCCTTCAGTCAGGTCGATGCTCCGTGTCCTTCAGTCAGGTCGACGCTCCGTGTCCTTCAGTCAGGTCGACGCTCCGTGTCCTCCAGTCAGGTCGACGCTCTTTGTCCTTCAGTCAGGTCGACGCTCCGT